TAAAAGTATTGTGCGCCTTACAAACAGAGGTTGCAAAATTAGGAGGGAAAAAAACACAAATAAATTAGTAATTGCTATCAAATGGAACTCTTGAGGAAACATTCAGAACAATCTGCAAGAAAACAGCCAAGTTCAAGAGTGCACCAAATTCAGACTTGACACATATTGTATTGATATTGTGAATTAAAATTTCATCTTTCTTGAAGTCCTGGCTCTGCGCCTGATTTATTGATTTGATTGTTGATTGATTGGCCAGTACCTAAAAATAGCTCATCCATTTAAGGCTACCAAAGGCAATCTTCAAATATAATCCCTTCCATAAGGAATAGCAACCTAGAGCGTTCCTGTCCCTGCCTCACATCAATCTATATATATATATAAAAGCAAAATACCCCTCACACATCACAAAATCTCCAGAACCGTCAAGCCTACAAACTTGAAATTTGGCACGTCTGTTCCTCTTGGCTTCTAGGGGCTCACTAAGAAAGGATTTTTCAAAATGACTATCAGAGCATTTCCTATATTATTATTATTTTATTATTATCATTATTATTAACATGCTCTGATGCTAAAGAGTTCTAGTCCGCCTCCCCACCTGGCAAGAAATCTCTTCCAAATGCAAAACACAAGCAGAAGTTTCAGTGTCAGAGAGCCAAGCAGCTTTAGTACAGAACAGTTGAGCTAAGCCACACCCAGGCTCTTTGCTGTCTCATTGCTCACACAGCAAATACTGTTCCAGTTTCCAAACAGCCCTCAACTCTCTCACACACTGACAGGACGCTAGCCAGAATACCGATGGATACTGGTAGGCAGAGGTCACCTGGTTGTTGGAGAGAAACTGGTTTCTCCATCGACTTTGCTTGTAAGGTCGCAAAAGGGGACCACATGACCCCCCAAGATACTGCAATGGTCATAAAATACGAGTCAATTGTCAAGCGTCAGGATTTTGATTATGTTGACTATGGGGATATTGCAATCGTCGTGGGACCAATGGTCATGTCACTTTTTCCAGTGCCCTTGTGATTTTGAACGATCACTAAACTACCAGTTATCTGTAAGGACAGAGGCACTACCGGTGTTTTCACTGTTGTTATTCTCTTATGTTAAGTAGAAATAAAAATGACTGGATGGTGAGGAATGGAAGGATTGATACTCCTTGCAGACAGCTGGTCCTTTGCATCCTTTTAGAGGGTCATTGAAGCCACTTGGACGTTTACCTGTGGACTCAGGGATGCTTGAGTGGTGCAAAGGGTTCCTGTAGCCTGCAATTTTACTGGAAACCCATTCACAATCCCACACCAGTCCAGGGTGTTCATCTCTAAAAGCCTCTGGAGATGTTTTCTAGCAGATGTTTCATTACCCAAATGAGGTATTATCCTATAGTATGATGAAGATTGTAGCTAATTGGATAGTGAAACATCTGCAAGAAAAGCACAAGGAATTACCAAGGACCCCACAGTTCTTTCTCCTCCTCTGCAAATCCCCATCCTTTCTAACAGTTGTTACCTAGTTGGGTAATGAAAAGTCTGCAAGAAAACCACCAAGCTCAGAGAATAGCAAGGACCCCACAGTCGTCCTCCTCCTCCTCCTTTCCACAAACCTTCCCTCCTTCTAGCACTGATGTTACCTAGTTGGAGAATGAAACATCTGCAAGAAAACCACCAAGCTCAGAGAGTATCCAAGGACCCCCCTCATGTCAACCCTGAGCTACAAATATTCTTGGTTGGAGCCAAATGTCTGCCTGAGTAAAATCTGAGGAAGGTTTAGCGTGGCTGCAACCGCACCAACAGTCTGTTTAAAATCAGCCAAGAGGCTGAGCTGAAATCACACACGCCGAGGACACATCCGAGAGCCCAGCTCAACGGCTTCATAGAAACACACATGGAGGCTCCATTGAGGCCCTTTAATCTGTCCTAGACAGTTTGCCGAGACACAAATGATAAAACATTTTGCATTTTTACAGCAAGGGGGGGTTGGGGGGGGGAAAAAAACCCAAGAAAAAGCCTACAGAAATGTATAAGGAAGTTAAATTTTGTACATGGGTAAAACGTTATAAATTCGGAGGGTGGGGGGTGGGGGAATACATGGACACAGGGTCAACTCCCACATTTCTTGTTGCTTTTTAAAAAAGTTCTTATGCGCGGCCAGGCAGTCGGTTGGCTGTTTTTCTTCGTGGAGGGGGAGCCTTCGGAGGAGCTCCTCGGGGACTGCGGCGTGTCTTGGAATGTCCTCGGAAGGCTCTGTCATCTCTCAAGGCGACCCAACTAAAACCCCAGAGTCCTTTCGGATGCAAAGGAACGCCCGCCCCCGCTTCAGTCGTCAAATTTGATCTTCTTTCCTTGTGGTTTGTGGTCGCCGCCACCGCCTCGGCCTCCCCTGAAGCCGCCACCTCCTCCTCTGCCTGGAACCATGAAATAAAAGGAAAGTGGGTTAATTTGGCTAATCTTCAAAGCTAAGAGGGAAAGAAAGGGAGGCGGGGTGGTGGTGTCGTCCATGAATTAGGACCGCAATTGGGAGCAAAATTTCTGTTGCTAAGCGAATTGTGACCCATTAGAATATAGACTAGAAAGAGAACAAATAGAAATAGAAATGAAATAGAACAGAAAGCATAGAATATACATAGAACACAAACGAAAGAACAGAAATAACGGAACAAAGAGAAATGAAAGAATAGAACAGAAACAAAAGAGAAATAGAACAGAACAAACAGAAATAGAAACGAAAGAAATGAAAGAACAGAAAAAAGAAAGAATAGGATAATGAGGAACAGAATACAGGATATTCTTTATTGGCCAATTGATGGCCTTGATTGGTTGGACACACAAGGAATTTATCTCCAGTGCAGAAGCTCTCAGTGTAGATGCAAACAACAAAGGTGAAATAATTATAAGGAAAAAGTTTAACAGGAAAGATGAGAAGGATAACAACAACACAGCCCAACTACATGTCCTAAGGGACAACATAAGTGCTGTGGGAATTGGGCGTTCAGCAGGGATGACTTCAAGGGGAAAAAACACTCGCTGTGTCTAGTTGTTTTTGGTGTACAATGCCCCCGTAGTGGCAGCCAGAGGGGAGGAGTTGGAAGTGTCCAGGCCACGGGTGTGAAGGGGGCCTGCCCACTCTATACAGGCCCCTCAATGGAAGGCAGGCTGGTTGCAATGGTTCTTTCTGCAGCCCCAACTATCCCCGTTGAATCTTGTTGGCCACGGTTGCTAAGCGAGTCCCTGCAATTGTTAAGTGAATCATGCAGAACACAACTTCTTCCCCCGTGGAGCTTGTTGGAAGCCAGCTGGGAAGGTCACAAATGACGGTTCACGTAACCCCCGAGGGTGGCAATGGTCGTAAACACACGCTGGCAACCAAACGGCCTAATTTTGATCATGTGATGATCAATGGGGGTGCTGTGACAGCTGGGAAGGGCAAGAAAGGGGCCCCAATTCATCTTTTTCAGGACTGCTGTAACTTCATTCAAACGGTCACTAAATGAACGGATGCATGTCAAGGGGCAGCTCCCTGCCCTGGGATGAATGGTGGAATCGTACGAGGGAAGGATACTCACCTCCGAATCCCCGGCCTCCTCCCCGGCCTCCAAATCCACCTCTGCCGCCGCGTCCACCTCTGCTGCCTCGGCCGAAGCCTCCTCCGCCGCCGCCTCCCCCACGGGGAGTGGCCCCCTTGGGCTTGGCAAAATCGAGGGTCACTTTGTTTCCATCAATCTCTCCATCCTCCATGGCTTCCTTGGCTGCTTTGGCATCTTCTGTGGAGCTGAAGTCCACAAAGCCAAAGCTGAGAGAGAGAGAGAGAGAGAGAGAGAGAGAGAGAGAGAGAGAGAGAG